AACAAGTAAAACACTTAACAACTACTAAACCAACTATTTTTATAAACATTTTGATTTAGCATTGGTTATCTTATTAACATTAGTTGTTTGTCAAAGGTTTTTTTATCAGCAAAATAAATTTAAATTTATTAAAATTATAATATTTAGGAAAATTTTATATTATTAAGCATTATTTCAAGTCAATAAGCTCCTTAAACCTAAACCGGATAATTTAAATAAAAAAAAACTTATTCAAAACATTTACAATCCCAAGTTAATATACAAGAGTAACATCATAAACCAAAGATCCAAAAGACCATAAAACAAAAATCAGAAGTACATGCTCATACAAAATATGCCAGCACACTTGAGCATTTCTTGAGCTGATAAATATTAATGAAACCAGCAAAACCTAAGAGCCCATGTACACCATATCTGTCCAAAAATACAAGAAAAAGCCAAAACAGCAGAAATCAAGAAAAGTCAAATGTTTTTGGCCAAAATAACCAACCTGCAATGCAGCTGATAGCTGTTTCTTATCCACCTACTAAATTGGAGTTATTTTAATCAGCACCGATGATTAATAGAAGTTTTAATCGGCTGCTATTTTTATAAGCTATCTTTATGAGTTTTTTCATATCGGCTGATGGCTGATTTGTATTTGCACTATTTTAGACTTTATTAACCTCATAAAAAAATAATTATTAATAAAATTATTTTTCCAAATTAATATTTTATGATAACTTTGTTTATAATTATTTAAAATTTTTTCTTAAATATTATTTTAAATTAATATTTTTATTTATATAATACATTAAAATATAAAAAAAATATTCAATCTTAAATTAAAAACATATATATACATTACACATCAAATAATATATAAAAATAATTATCCTATAAAAGTCATTTTATGATTTTAACGGCAATCACTACTAAAATTTTAACCAAACACAAACAACAATCACTAATCACTATCAGCCATTAGGCTACCAGCTAATCAGTAACGCCCTATCAGTCTATCAGCTGGTATGAAATGGCTGAACCAAATGAACCTTTAGAAAGCACATCAAGTAAATTAAGCCTAAAAAAAGATGCACCTTTGACATCCATTTAGGCCAAAATACCACAATAAAGGAACATTAAAATAAAAAAAATATTCATCTTAAATTAAAAACATATATATACATTACACATCATAATATATAAAAATAATTATGCCTATAAAAGTCATTTTATATTTTAACGGCAATCACTACTAAAATTTTACCAAACACAAACAACAATCAGCTAATCACTATCAGCCATTAGCTACCAGCTATCAGTAACCCCTATCAGCTATCAGCTGGTATGAAATGCTGAACCAAATGAACCTTTAGAAAGCACATCAGTAAAATTAAGCTAAAAAAAGATGCACTTTGACATCCATTTAGCCAAAATACCACAATAAAGGACGATTGAGAGGTCAATTAAATCCAAGCAAGAGATAGATCAACGGTCTCAACATCTTTTTTTGCTAAGCAATTTGCAAAAATGTTACAACCCGATCAAATCTATTTCACCTCTCCTATTTACTGTTTCTATGAACGTTTTTGTTTTTGAATAATCCAACACAACGCATTTATAAAGATTATTGTTAAAATATCAAATAACTTTGGCGAATATATTATTTTCTATTTTAATATATTATATAATAATATTTAAGTATAAATTAATTTTTTTAATGATATTAAAATTTATTTTTTATGAGACCAATATGATACAAATATAATATAAATACTAATCACTATTACAACAATAAACTGATTGAATGCAAAATAAAAGATTACGACAACATTACAAATGCAACTAAATAAAGGACAAAAATTCCAAAACAGTAATTTATGAAGTCTCAAAAGAGAAAACCTCATAGCAAAGGAAAAGGCCAATAATGATAATTAGAAAAACTTTTTATTTTCTATTTGATTTTTTTGAGTTTGCACGTGTGTTGTAATTCCAAAAGTCTCAAATCTCAATGTTGAAGGAAACAAAACGACAACAAAAGTAAGTACTGAAAAGAAAGATCTAAAAGGAAAACGAAGTGAGCCGAAAAAGCCAATACAACAAGACTGTGTCCGTGTCACCAATCTGAAAACGTTAAACGTGATTAGTGGGCTATGGCTGTTAGTGGGTCCCTATTAATTAATTATTAATATTAATGTTTTTGTGGGCCCAGTTAAGGTAAGGGTCAAAGAAACGTCCAACTATGGTCCTAAGTGTCCACAGCTGTGTTTCAGTTCTTCTCCGACATGTCCCTAAAAGATCGCACTGTATGTGATCCGAAATCTATGCATTGCTTTTTTTTTTTAATTTATTATTTATTATTTATTTTTATAGTTCTGGAGTACTTGTATTACAGTAGGCCGCCCATTGTATAGACAGACCATAGAGTCCTGATTGTTCTCATGCTGGCTTGTCATCATCTTGCTATTCATGAGATTTGGATTTCTATAATTATTCGTTTTTCTTGAATTTTGTTACTAAAATGGCAATGAGAGGCTAAATGTTCCTTAAAATTAATATTAGAAATAATAACATTAATAGTCAAATATTGTAACTGGAATGATTTTTTTTAGGTGGAAGAACTAAATAGTTTAATCGCACTAAACTTCGAGAGTCGAGATTAATCAATGTAATTATCAAATAAAAGAAATGAAGTTATAAGTACGACCAAATTTAAGAAATTAAAATATATAGAAAAAGGAAACTAAATTAAAAGGTAATTCTCTGTGTATCCTTCAATAATAAAAATCAATTAAATTAAATTTAGATGATTGACCGGTCATAATATTTTTATCTATCTATTTATATGAATCTATAATTTTTAAAGCATTGATGATGATATGGCAAGATATTAGGGTGCAAAAGTGATTATGTGACATTTTAATTTTTTTATTCTAATTAATCTCTTTTTTTCATTTAATAAATATTAAGTTTTTTTTTATTAAATGATGGAGTTATAAACTAATGGACTCTAATTGAGTTAACATTTAAAAACCATAGAAATTTTTAGAATTTAATGGAATTATAATTAATAAACATTATTTATATAATGAAGTTACAATAATGTGCTTAACTGATGGAATTAAAATATAATTTCAATCCATCAATTGAATTATAATAATAAACATTTTAATTGAATATATGAGAATTTGAAAAGAAAAAAAAATTACATCAGTTGAAATATAATAATGCATTATGGTAATATATTTCAGTTTATTGCTTGATAATTTCAAAACGAACATTTAATTTTAACTTTCATCTTTTAATCAAATTATTTAAATTGAACCATACAAATATAAATCATAATAATTCCATTTAAATGGATTAAAAAATATATATATAAATTACATAATATGCATTGCATGAGTACAGGACTAATTATGAATAATGTGGTAAAAAAATTTTGAGGAGAGAACTCTCATTGCATTTTTTGCATGTGAATATATAATTAATTTAGTGTATGAGCGAATCTATATTAATTAAAATTATGTAGAAATAAGCATTTAGTTTAACTAAATTAAATTGAATTGAATCGAATCACTTTTAAATTAAAATAATTAAGTTATGAAAATACCTCAATTGAACTGAACCCTTTTAAGATTAAATGAATTTTATAAAATTTTGTGAAATTTAAGCTAAATCAACTTCTAAAAAAAAAATGAAATTTCTAAATGAGTTTCAAAAATTTAAATAATTCAATACTTTATGACAAAACTATCCATCCATGCAACATTGTAAAGTTATTATGTTAAGATTGTTTTAGGAAATTAAAATAATTTTAAAATTTAAAATTTATTTATAAATAAAATTTTCATATTTGGAGTAAATGGTTTACATTTTAAATTCATTCATACCAATATATGCGAAAATTTGTGATAAGATGATCTTAGTTTTATTTATATTCAGTTTTCTATGAAGAAAAACCAAACTAAAATTATAAAACCGAAATGTAAAATTTTTGGCTAACCGAATCAAACCGATTTTATTGAACAGTCCGATTCTATAGGTAAGTATTTACCTAATCTGTTCATTATTCAATTAATAAATCTATTTATTGTTCGAAAATAACTCTCTCCCAATAAATATCCAGTTCATTTGAAAACCGATGAATTCCATAGGGAAAACGCAAGTGCAGAAATGGAAAACGACAAGGAAATGGAATAATTTTTGACAGAGATGCGCTTTGCTGGCAAATAGCTAGTGTACGTGCGCAGTGAGAGCCAGCTCACCCCACTCTACCAATCCGCCCCACGCATGCCCATGCATTATCTAACTCTCGGAGATTAGGTTCTCCTATTCCCACTACTACAATAACTTCCTGTGAGCTCGCCAGCATCTTCGTCGACCGATCATTGATGAACTTTATATATATATATATATATACACTTTAATGTAAAAATATATGTATTAAAAAGCTAAAAGATAGGGAGAGTACTCAAATTCACCTTTGCTTCACTTATAAATTCAGGATAAAGCATGAACTTTTTTTTTTTTTTAAATAAAATGAAATTATCATCTCTAAATTAGAGATTTGAAAACAAAAGACAGCTATCTAAAGAATTTAAAAAAAAAAAAAAGTTCATTAACCATTTAGCAAATCATAAATCCTTCTACAGATGGAAATAATTTTCAAATAAGTTAGGAGTGGACAAAAGATAATGATTTTTACTAAAAAGAAATATAGAAAAATATTTGCAATTGATTCCTTCACTACAACCACACAGACCATTCAAAAATATTCTAAGATGATCATTGTTAAAGTAGTTTAATAATTACAGAATATTCTTCTCTCTAGCTTGTTCTTTCTCTGTCAAATACTCCAAAATCAAAGATTACTAGTAATTTGCAATCACAAGATTCTCTTTCATAAACAAAAAGAGCTCACAGCTTAAAACTGAGCGCGATCTTATCATATCTTTCTCCATATCCAAAAATACCCAGCTAATATTACTGACAGCCTGTTTCACTCTCATCTCCTCTCCCCTCCCTCTCTTATTCCAAATTGGTAAACTCTATATATCTCCGCCTCCCAAAACCCCAATCTCTCCCTTTCTCTAGCAAAACAAACCGAAACCACCATTTCACCACCGGAGACCGCAGCGACTTCTTATTCTTCTTCTTTATAGCGATAAAGATTAAGAATTTCAAATAAGAATGGATCCGTGCCCATTTATACGGATCCTGATAGGTAACTTGGCGATTAAGTTTCCCTACAATTCAAGAACTGTAAGTTCATGTTATTGCAAGATCAAGCTCAAGAATTTCCAAACCAAACAAGCCACAATTCCTCTGATAAACCAAAACCAACAACAACGGAGCCAAAATCCCGAGAACAGTAACTTGTCAAATTCTCTTGCGGCTTGTTTCAATCTCGACAAGATCCAGATCGATAAAATATTGGCTTCTAAAAAACTCAAAAGTTTGAATATTGAGATCTACAGCGGCGGCGATGGAGTTTCGTGCGGTGGTTGGTCGGATGGGAAGCTATTGGGGAAAGTTACTGTTTCGTTGGATTTGAAAAAAGCAGAATCTAGGCCTTGTGTTATGCAAAATGGATGGATTGGAATCGGAGACAAAGCAGAGGTTTATTTAAGTGTTAGAGCTGAACCTGATCCGAGATATGTGTTTCAGTTTGGAGGAGAACCAGAGTGTAGTCCTCAGATTTTTCAGGTGCAAGGAAGTGTTAGACAGGCTGTTTTCACTTGCAAGTTCAGTTTCAGGAATCCTGGAGATCGCAATTTGGGTCCAAGGTTGGTTTTCGATTATTTATACTGCTATTATATTAATTCAATTTTCTGTTGCGTTGATGAGAAAAAATTTAGAAAAAATAGGCAAAGCTAGGATCATAGTGTTTGATTTTAGGTTGGTTTTAAGAATTTTGGTCAGGTCAAAGATTTGTAAATCTGAATCTTAATTTACTCCAATCCCCAAAAACGTTTCACTAACTGAACCAGAACCAATAAATAATTTAATTAGTGTTGTCTTATTATATGAATTTTGGTGCTGGTTTTTGAATCCTGCATATTTTTTCAGGCAATCACTAGAACAATCTACATCAAGAAATTGGCTGCCATCTCTTGGAGCTGAAAAGGATCAATCTACCAAAGAGCGAAAGGGATGGACAATCACAATCCATGACCTGTCAGGTTCACCAGTAGCAATGGCATCGATGGTGACTCCATTTGTACCATCTCCGGGTTCAGATCAGGTAAGCCGGTCAAATCCTGGCGCCTGGTTAATCCTCCGGCCATCTCTCGGTACATGGAAGCCTTGGGGCCGATTGGAGGCGTGGCGCGAATATCCTAACACTAATGAATTAGGATACCGCTTTGAATTAATCCATGACACTGTCACTGCAACTCCGACCACCTCTACTTTAGCTAATTCTGTTATTAGTACTAAAAATGGAGGCAAATTTACAATTGATACTACTAATAGTGTTACAACCCCGGTTTGTAGCCCACATAGTAGTTGCGATTTCGGATCCGGATCAGGATCAGGATCAGGATCAGGATCGGGGTCATGGTCTGGGTCGGAATTCGGAGCAGGACTTTTCTCACAGTTTATGTACAGAGGGTTTATAATGTCGTCAACGGTAAAAGGGAGTAATAATTGCAGTAAGCCGGAGGTGGAGATCGGAGTACAGCACGTGAATTGCACGGAGGATGCGGCTGCTTTCGTGGCATTAGCTGCAGCCATGGATTTAAGTACAGAAGCTTGCAGGTTGTTTTCTCATAAGCTAAGGAAGGAGTTGAGGCAGAAGAGTCAGAGTTTTGTCGTTTGATTTTGAATAATTTTCCGTTTTGAAGATAGAAAGTAACTGATCAGTTGGTTAGGTTTTGGATTCTTTCTTTTTGGCTTATAACTAACAGCAGTTTTTGAGCTGGAGGATTAATTTGTTCTTTTTTTTTCTTTTTTTTTTTTTTAAAATTTCTTGTACAGTGAGGAATGACTAGGCAGGGTTTATAAATAATATAAAAAAATATATAAATTTTTTAATTCATTCTTGTTCTTGTGCTGTGTGCTTTTTTTATTATTATTAATTAATTATATATGAAGGTTAAAATAGGGAGAATCCAATGTTGGTGTACCAATTTTATATATTATAAAAAGGTGGCAAAGATTCGATTTTGTAGTTGTAGAGTTGCCTATTGAACATTTATGAAGGTCAAACATAAGAATAATCGATGCTGTTGACAGCTATATTAAACAGGTGAAACTTTAACTGTAAATGTTTGATTGCCAGGTCAATTTTTTAATTAGAGGGGTCAAATTCTGTTTTTCAATATAAATATAAATTTCCTTTTATTTCAAACAATATTTCGATTATTGTATTTTATAATTAAGGAAAAACTATAATAAATGATTAAATAAATCTTATTTATAAGCCTTAATCTCTTATTTGCCACTAAAAAGGTTGAAGCATAATTAAAATATGATATCATCATGACCTAATTATATTTAATCACATAATGATGAGAGGTGGTGTGATGGGTATTTAGATTTTTAAATTAAAATTTTAAGAATTATGAAAAAAAAAATTATAATTGGAGAACAGATAGATAGGTGGTGATAAGGGTAGGCGGTGGAGTTGTATGAAATATTCTGTGAATCAAATTGTTTGCCTAACGAAAGCATCAACTGTGAACCATCCAATTTCGTGAAGGGCTCAAATTCATATTATTACAATGCTTGGCATTGACTGTCACTTAATTATATGCTTTCATGATACTTACTGCCAATAATGGTTGACTAAACTGAAATAATTAAGATATAATAAGAAAATTATTTCATTATTTTTCTGTTCCAGCATATTTTTATATATGTAATAAATTAATTTAGCCTTTAAATTTTGACAAAAAAAATTATTGATTTAATATATGACATATTGATTTAACTTTTATATATGACATATTTAACTTTTATATGACAAAAAAAAGATTTTTAACTTTTATATATGACATATTGATTTAATATATGATTAATACAACTTTTGAAATAATAATATTTTTTTTTACACATCAAGATATGGTCTAGTGATATGTGTATTATGATATGACAATAGATTCAGGTTTGAATCTCATTCCTGAGTACTCAAAAAAATATTTTCATTTTTTAACTATAAAAAAATAGAATTTCGTATTGTGGATTATTTTTTTGAAAAATATGAAAGGACTCCAAAAAAAATACTGAATTTCAGAATTTATTGAAACAGTTGGTGGTCAATTTTTTTCACAATTTATTTTCTGAGGACAGAACCAATTTTCCCCCTTTTGATGCTGAGACCACTTTCCCGTCTCTGGATGTCAGTGTACTGACAAGTCTTGGGCAAGAGATTACTGTTGAAGAGGTTAGGATAGCGTTGTTCCAAATGGACCCTAACAAAGCCCCTGCTGTTGATGGGTTTAATGCATTCTTTTTCCAACAAAATTGGAATATTATTAATTCTTCTGTTTGCAGCCATGTCTGCAGATTGTTTAATGAGGAGGCTTCCATGGAAAGTTTAAATAAAACCCTTATGGTTCTTATTCCGAAGGTGGAGAGTCCCGTAGAGGTTAAGCATTTCAGGCCTATTAGCCTCTGTAACAGTCTACAAGCTTCTTTCCAAGTAGCTTATTTAAACACGCTAAACACAGTTAGTTCCAAAATATCGCTTTCTTAGAAGAGTTTGAAGGGGATAAGACAGAGAACAAATAAAAAAAAAAAAAAAATTATAGCTTTATGGTTAGTGCTGAGTACAAATTGATCGAATTGATCAAACCAAAACAAAATGACTAGTTCCATTTGCTTTATAATATTTTCAGTTTGGTTTTAGTTTTAATAGAAAAGAAATCAAAATTTCAGTTAGTTTAATAAATTGCCAGAACTTCACCAAAAAGCAAATTCCAACATGCTCATACTCCACAAAAATCATAACTTTTATCTGGAAGCCAAAGAATTAGAGAGAAACTTTCTGGTTTTGGTGACAGATAAACAAAGCAATCACCAACCTACAAAGGAAAAGATTTAAAAGTTCCAAGGAAAAAGGGATATCATATCAACTCAAGTTGTCAATTTGCCATAAATTACACAGGTACAACCGTTAATAACATTAAACTGCCTACATTTTACCTGCAATGCTAAAACTGTATTTCTAGACATGACCATATTTCAAAAAGACTAGAAACATCTCAAAACTCGTCAAATTTTTGTATGAAAACAGAGTGAACAAGTAACTAAAACTTTTTAGATCACTCAGAAGCACAAAGAGCATTTCATTAAAATTCTCATTCTGCTGCAGCGTCTCGGCTGTTAACCCCTTCTACACTATTCCCTGGCAATGTATCCAGATCTATGCGAGCCTCTTTCTCATCTTGGCTGACTGAAGTATCAGAAGAATCAATGGGGTCCTGAATAAGAGCTTCAGTTCCGTCTGTTGACGAGTTTGAATTTTCATCTGTTCCACTTGATTCATTCTTGGTGTCTGAGTTCTCATCTTGAGTAGCATCTGCAGTCTCCTTCACTGTTGAAGATGATCCAGAATTGACCTCTGCTTCAGCTGTAACTTCAGTTTTAATAACTTCATCTGAGTTTTCAGGCTTTGAGTTAGCAGAGGAATTTGAGTCTCCACTAACTACAGGTTTAACAATCTCATTTGTTTTGTCTGGTTTTGAATTAGTAGAGGAATTTGAGTCTCCATTATTATCAGGGCTATCAGGTTTTCTGATGCTAGAAACCACGTTGTTATTAACCTGTTCCAATTCAGTGGTTTTTGGGTTAGATGCTTCCCCAACACTAGCACCACCATTTTGAGCTTGATCAAAATCAGATTTAACTACTGTTTGATCCTGTTGGGATGAATCAGACACCTTAGAGTTCCCATCTGGAGGGCTATTGCCAGCTTCTGTATTTACATCCAGTTTGTTGGTTTCTACTGGTTGATCATTGGATACAGAAACAGAAGTTAAATTTTCATGTGATTTATCCTCACCATCCTTGTCAACAACTGTCACATTCAATGGTGAGCCAGTGTCAGACTTTACACCTTCTCCAAGCAGTGATGTCGAGTCCTTTTGATCCCCATTGATCTCCTCAGATTTGTAGTTGTTGGAAGTCTTCTCCGGTTCTAAATCGCTTGCCACTGACTTCTCCAAACTTACCTTCTCAGATTCAGTGCTTATAGTTTCGGTATCATGGGTCACTGCACTGGAAGCATCATCTGCCTTATAATGTACTTCTCGAGCCTCATGATCATTCTTAACACCCCCATCATGTTCCTGATCTTCCGTTGAAGTTTCATGGTCCACCTTAGCACCTTTAGCTTCGCCATCATCATTTCCACTTCCATTTTCCTCATGTTCTTCCAATTTCTCTTTCTCTTCATCCACAATATCCTCCTCTGGATCACCTTCTCCTATTTTCTCTTGATCACGTTCGTCGATCTCATCATCTCCACCTCCACCTCTCCCTTCATCTTCTATCTCATCAACCTTGATCTCTTCTTCTAGCTCTTCATCTGCATGTTTGTTTTCCTCTTCTTCTTTCTCTTCATCACGCTTAGTTCCTTCTTCTTCTTCTTCTTCTTCTTCTGCTTTCCCTTCATCATCATGCTTACCTTCTTCCTCTTCCCTTTCATCTTCTTCATGCTTTGTTTCATCTTCCACCTGTTTTTGTTCATGCTTAATTTCTTCGATTTTATTTACTTCCTCATCTACTGTTGTGTCTTCATCATCATCTTCCTCATGCTTCTCATCCTTAGTTACCTCCTGCACACGAGGATGAAGACTTTTTCTTCCCAAGTTTGAAATCCCATCACTACTTTGAGCTCTGACAGATATTTTTGTGTCTTTCTCGTCAAACTCTTTCTTCTTATCATGGGAATGCTTGACTTGGTAGATTAACCAAAAGCAGACACCAAGCAATAAACAAATCTGCAGAACATGTTTTACCCTGAAGCCTCTAGATCTAGAGTTTCTACTTGGTGTCCGTTTGATCATGATGAAAGTCTCCAATCACCAACTCCCGACTCCCCCTTTGCGTATAGCAAGTCAAAAACTACATAGAATCCAGCATTTTAGAATTAAGTAGCTGAAAGAGATTAAGCAATCATTAAAAGCAGTTCAATTATAACCATCAACAAGCCATTTCAGAACATGTTTTTCCGTTAAATTAATTATACATTTATAATGCAGCAGAGACAGAACTTAATATGAACTCTACAATATCAAATCCTCAAATGCTTTTTTAAGTTTACCCACTGGAAGACCAGATTCAAATTTAAAGAACACCAGTCGATATATAAATTTCTAACCAAAATCCTACAACTTTATGTAATTAGTTGAACTGGAACCCAACCCACAAGTACCTGCTCAAATCTATTATGCTGTGCTTGAATCTTCTAATGATGTCAGATAAGGAAAAAAAGATAAGAAAATATCAGATCCACACAATTTTCAGAACTCAGCCATTTCATGGTTGTAACCAAGCCTAGAATAAACAATGATCAGACATATTAAAGCAACTCTCTTTCTTTATTTCTTCATTCATTTATTAATCAAAATGCAAGCAGTTAAATCTATGGCCATCTCAATGAAGGTACACAAATGCATTTTCCTTTTTACTTCTGAAAAAGCTGCACCATTTTCAGGTTGTTTTTAGTTACAATATCACTTCTGATCGAGGCATGCCATTTTCAGATTTTTTTTTAGTTACTATTTCACTATTAATTGCAGGAAGACTCTATAACGAGTGCCAAAAAATAAATATACCACCAAACATACTTTTTTTGTGCTATTTTTAGTTTCCTCTATTTGGCTGTAGAAGAAATCAAATTAGACGTTTTCAACTAAAGAGGTAGTTGAGATTAATGTATCATTCAACATTTGACAATCATCAGGAAGGCAATCAAATTTGATGAAGATTTCATCAAAAAAATGCTTAATAGCCTATGGATATGTTTTTTGTTCAGTCATTTCTGCTTTAGATGGATATCAAGAAAAAGACAAAGGAGGACAAAAAATTTTAACTGGTACCATATGCGTTCTCAGTTCTAACATATTGCTATGAATCTCAAAGAGCCTATATGTTCTTTCCCCCCCTCATTTATCAAATTAATCTAAACTAGTTTCAACAAAGAAAGATGCTTTCCTCTGCAACGCAAAGTAAACCCACATCTGTTTTGCTCGTCTATCAAAGAAAACCAACAATTAAAAACTGCAACAAAAACACAAACTTGCTCAAGCAAAGATGAATTGAAGCCCCAAAGAAAACCCTAATCAGACGAACTAAATCAAACCCACAAATACAAAATACAAAACCCAGTCCTTTATAAGTAACAACCGCAACCATCTGCCATAATAGTTCATTTCCAAGTACTAAACCCAAAAAAACCACCATACCAAACAAAAACAAAAAGAAATTTCTTGAAACAGAAACCAGTACAAAGCAATTAGAAAATGGAAGTACAGTTAAACAAAATAATTGCAAAAGCCAAAAAGTTAATCAATCCATCAATCAAGCAAGGGAGAAAGAAAGAAAGTACCTGGAGCGAGAGACTGAGACAAGAAAATTATTTATTACGTCAAAAAAAAAAAAAAAAAAAAAGTACAGTTAAACAAAATAATGCAAAAGCCAAAAAAAGTTAATCAATCATCAAATCCAGCCAAGGGAGAAAGAAAGAAAGTACCTGGAGCGGAGACTGAGACAAGAAAAATTATTTATTACGTTCAAAAAAAAAAAAAAAAAAAAAAAAAAAAAAAAAAAAAAGAGAAATGCTATACCCAGCGGCTGGGTTGGAGAAATGGGTTAAGGCAAGTACTTTGTTTCCCTGTGGATTTTATTACAGTGGGTAGATTTTTGTAATGTATAGACTTTAAATACAAAACAGTTGACGGGATCCAATAACTAGAAAGCAGAGAGCCTTCCATGAGTAGGAAACTCCGCCATGTTCGCGCGACGTGTGTAAATCTTCGAAGGCTATTGGTTTGAGAAACGGTTTAATTTTATGGCTGTATTCGGCGGTCTTTTTTCTAGCTTTATGCTCTGTATAAATTTCTTCATTGACGTTCATTCTTGGGTACGGATTCGGGTTCGGGCTGGGCCTTATCGGGTATGAGATTTTCTTTCTTTTTTAATTCAGGTTTGACTCAAATGAAAATATATTATGTCTTTAATTAAGACAAATCGGATTTAAACGACAGATATAAATATTGGATCGGATCTATTTAAGTTGGACATTATTTAATTAGAATTTATTTTGCACATGGCAATTTGTATTCTTTTAATGCAAGTTGTAGCAATGGAGCAGTTTATTAATTAAAATCAACTTAAAATTATAATACATCTATTCGATAATACTCGTTATATTTAAATTTTATATTTCTTTAAAAAAAATATTAAAATTATTTAAGTTACAATAAATTATTGAATAAATTGATTATATAACCTTTAATTTAATATTAATTCTCTGAGAAAATCATTAAATTAAAGTAATAATTATTGGTCATATACAAAGAATAAAAATGAAAAAAAAAATATTTATTACTCCTTAAAACTATAAATGTAATAAGTATTTTCGAACAAGTTATTTTTTTAAATACGATAAGTATTATGGAACAAAAATAGTAATAAATTATTATATAATGATATGTAAACCTACCATTTAAAAAACTGGGATGAGACTAGTTTTTGGAATTGGGAGGGCTCCAAACCGGTCTAATTCCAATTTTTAAAATAATAATTAGCCAGAAATGGCAAAATCTGCTAGAATTGATTGATTCTAATTAAAAGAGGAAAAAAAAAAAAAAGCATGGAAGGTGATATGAAAATTGATTTTTTAATTTTTTTATTTGTCGTAATTAATATGCCTATTAAATGAAAGTGAAATGAGAGTAGAAGATAGAAGATAGAAAGTGAGTTCCACTTATTGAATCTGATATGGGATATTATTGAAGATTTTCGTTGTTTTGATAGGTCGAAGTTTAATAGATACTATCATTGTTTTATAATATTTATCATATTTATAATTTTACGTTCTTTAATAAAATCATTAAATTTGTTTACGTTACGATAAATTATTGAAATTAACTATATTACCCTTAATTTAATACTAATTATCTAAGAAAGTTATTAAATTGAAGTAATAATTATTGGTCATATACAAAGGATAAATGTGGAAAAAAATATTTATTATTTCTTGAAACTATAAATATGACAAACATTTTAAAACAAATTATTTTCTTAAATGTGATAAATATTATAAAACAAATGTATTACCGTAGATGTGCTAATGTGAATGCATTTGTTGCTTTAGCAGATTTGTAGATGTACTTATAATTGAAGTGGTGATGCGTCTTGTGCTGGCTTCATATACCAAGTTAAATGTCTCTTCTCTTTTTTGTTTTGTTTTTTTTTTTTTTTTTTTTTGTTTTGTTTTTTTTTTTTTTTTTCAAGCCAAGTAGCCCATTATTGCATTTGGAATTTTATTCGTGCATTTATTATTATTTTTAGTTATTTATTACTTCCTCAGTACTTTTTATATAGAAATAATTAAATTTTCATCAAAATTAAAAAATGGTTTAATTAACTTTTTTTTCCTTTTTTTTTTTCTTTAATTTACCCATAATATCTCGGTAATTCATCCTTTAATATTAATATATATCTTAAATTATGTTTCAATTTTAAATAACGCTTTAAATACTTTGTCGGAATGAAGTGAATACAAGCAGGTATAGAAAAAAAATCACATTTATATTCTAATGGGAAACTTTTTTAAATCTTTGTTGGAAAATTGTTTGAAAATTTAAAAATTTGTATTCATTTAATCTTTCAAACACCTTTGATTATTGAAAACATATTTAAAAAAATGTAATTTTTCAAATATTCGAGCAAAGTTCATAAGGATTCATTTCAATATGGTCAATTTTAAAAATTTGTGGACATTTTCTATTCAAACTCCATTTTAATTAATGCTTATATTGCCTTGAACACATTTTTTTAACGAAAATTGATGAAAAAACAACTGATTGTCCAAAATTTTTTTATATTAAATGCTCATCTATATTTTTGTCTACCGATACTTTGAGAATCTCTCACACTAACTACTTTATGAGATAAGAGTAAAATAGACTTTTTATATTAACATTGTTTTCCAAGTTACTAAATTAGGCAACATTTTTTATATAAAATAAAACTCCAAAATAAAAATTTTTCTTGTATAAAAAGGACGGGGGAGTACATAAAAAAAGAAAAATATAAACTTAGAATTTTATAATTTAAATTATAGAGTTTAAGGTTTTAAGGTTTAGAATATAATATTTTAGGATTTAAAGTAATCATCTAAACTAGGATATAAGATTTAGTTTATTTTTCTTATTTATAATTTTATCTCCTCCATTGGAGGTTCCATCGTGTATATGCAACCTACATAAAATACACCAATTTGCTATTTTTAAACATTATTTTCTCACAAATGTCCTTGTCCTAGAAATCGTTATGTTGTGTCCAAAATATTCTTGCCATACCCCAAAATTAAAATATTAAAATGATATATTTTAAAAAATTAATGCAAGTTTATTATTTATTTATCATTTTATTATTATTATTATTTGAAATGGAGATCTTTATCAATAATTCAAATCAGCAACTTGAATACTATGAAGATGGTCTGGAATCATAGACCAAAATGTAAGACTAGCGTGATTTATAGCTTCTCTAGCAAGAGCAAGAGCAGCCATATTGGCTTGTATTCTAACCCAAACTATGTCATGAATGTTTGGAGATGATAACAATTCGTTGCAATCTTGAACCAGCAGACCGAATCTGAATCATTATCACATGGACCCTTGACAGCCTTGCAAACCATCTGAGCATCCATTTCCACAATAACTCCATCCAAACCTATCCGCTTCAGCCAAGATAAAACCTCCCTAAGACCAATAGTCTCAACAAGCTTCGACGGATACAGACCCTTATAGAAGCCAATAATACCACAGAGAAACGAAAGAATCATGCTCATCTCGAACAAGTGCACCGAAACCTGACCTGTTAGCTGCAGAAAAGGTGGCGGAGTCAATATTACACTTCAACATCCCCATAGGAGGCGGTTGCCACACCTGGAAAGGAGTGGGATGATGAAGAATTGAAGTCAAAGGAGGCACCACCTGTTGAGCCGACTGCCAATCATAGAGGATACTCAAAGCTGAACTGACCATCACCGGCGCCAAAGGCAAGACGCCACTCCATAAACGCTTATTTCTGTAGTTCCAAATATTCCACACAATCACAGCTGCTTCCACCCTATCAACCATTTCACCCCTATTCCAAACCAACGACAACCAATCAATAAAATCCTCCGCAGCAAAGCCCTGAGACCACTGTCGCCAAACAGACCAACAAGAAACAGCGACAGGGCAACCCACTAGAGCATGAACATCTGTCTCCTCTTCACCACATGCCAAACACCTATCATCGATGTTCAATCCTTTCAGATGTAGACGACTCTTAGAAGGAAGAATATCATGACAAGCTCGCCACAAGAAGTGAGAAACCTTAGGCGGGACTTGCAATTCCCAGATGCACTTCCAGATCACATTATGTGCTGCAGTTTGCCCTCTAAAAACAAGATTTCGCGCTAGATGGTACGCTGATTTCGTTGTATATTTACCATCAGTTGTCCAGTGCCAAATCAACTTGTCTTCACAATCCCGATGGCTCAGCTTTATACAAAGAACAATAGCAGCAATATCAGGAGGAAACAATCCCCGAACCAGATCAACATTCCAACTGCGAGACAGAGAGTCACGCAAATCCACAACTAATGCAAGTTTTATTTTTTAAAACAAAGGAAATCACATTACGATGGACACATCCTAAGCTACGTGACACCAAAATAATCACTTTAGATGATACGAAAAATATCATGTGGTAAATAAATCCAGAAGTAGCTATCAAAAGGCAAACTATGACCAAATGCAGCCATCCAATGAGTTTGTTTTATGGAAAATATGAGAAATCGCGACAAAAGATATTTACTCTTTATGTTATTGATGGGAAATTTATATTTTGTAAGCAAACCAATAAAAATGCTCCAACAATATTTTGTTCTCATGTTATTAGAGACTGCAATAAGGTAGCCCATAGCTTAGATAACTATGTCCTTATGTATGAGGAAGATGAATAAATTTGGATTCGATTTTCTTAAATTAGAGGTTAGAACTCATAAGATAAAAATGTGTGATGTGGACTTGGGGCAACCGATGTTAAAAAAATCTTTATGTGCCCTTAATTAAAATTGGGACTGGACATTCAGTTGACATTCGGCATTTGAAATCCTACCCCTGAAATACTGATTAACTGAATTAGGCCAGATCAATACTAAAAAATTAGTAATAAACAATTAGTTAGCTTAGCTTGCCACTTTTATATGCCTTTGATGGATTTGATATCTAGTTAACATGGGATTCTTAATAGCTTATGCTTAATTCTAAGTTTTTATTTCCCCTGGAAAAAAAAATCCAATAAGATAATAAACTTCCAATCACATGGAAATGGAAGAGTATGCAATTCCTTCCTTTCTCACATTGATAACATCCACACTTTTAAGCTTAATTATTTTCTAAGAAGTTCCTTTTTTTTAATAGAATCCAATTTATCATAATTCATTAATTAATCCAATTGTACTTAAAAAAAACCCACAATTTCCATTTCTATTCAATTTCTACACAAGCTTTAGAAGGTAAATTTAAAATGCAGAAATAGTGAACTAAATCCGATCCATTCCATACAAAATCCTAAAGGAGGAAGCAAAGAATAAATCCTTCAAAGAGTACAAAAGGAAAGTTGAAAGAACAAGTCATTCTAAAAAGAAATACAATACAAAAGAAAGTTAACTCTCAAGTCAGTTCCTTAAACTTTCTGCTATAGCCAGTTCAAAAAAGCTTTAATTTATTGAGAAAGCCTTTAATTATGAAACATTATCATTAAATTATGAGTAAATTATACTTTAATCAATGAAAAGATATAATTAATATTAACCCAATAGCCAAGTGACTAAACTTATGTACTCAAATAAATTAATTAAATTCTAATAATTTAACTCATAAAAACAATATTCCTTTGCTTTTCTTTAAAGATATTCTTTCTTGAACAAAACCCTTTTTTTCTTTTCACATTTTAACTAACTTCCCATGCAATGCATATATATACCTTACATATCCACCATTTCCTTGAATTATATCCTCTTCTACCCAAAAATAATTAATCATGTTCATCATTTTCAAATTCATAGTCTTTCTTGGGTTTATTATACCTAATTTCTTTCAAGTTTCATTTTCTTCTGTTATTTCCACTGGAGATTTTAATAAGGACTTCTTTGTAATGTGGTCTCCTAGCCATGTAAACACTTCTGCTGATGGCAGGACAAGAAGCTTGAAGCTCGATCAAGAATCGGGTTCGGGTTTCGCTTCGAACCAGATGTTCTTGTTCGGACGAATTGATATGCAAATAAAATTAGTGCCAGGCTATTCCGCAGGCACAGTTGTGGCATTTTATGTAAGTAATATTAAGTGTTCTTGCTATTGATTATATGTTTAGGGTTTGCTTAATTAGTAATTAATTGCAGTTAACATCAGATCAACCTAACCGTGATGAGATAGATTTTGAGTTTCTTGGAAATGTAAGTGGAGAGCCATATATTCTTCAGACCAATATTTATGCTGATGGATTTGATAATCGGGAAGAAAGGATTTATTTATGGTTTGATCCTACGAAAGACTTCCATAATTATTCTGTCTTGTGGAACCTTCACCAAATTGTGTAAGCACCATCTTTCTTTTTACCAAGTGATTCTTATAATTCTTTTAAGAAGTAAAAATCTTTTTCTTCTTCTTCTTTTTTTTTTTTTTTTTTTTTTTTTTTTTTTTTTTTTTTTTTTGATAATTCGCGGGGAGGACCGTGTTTCGATATTTTATGGTATTGTCCTCCTTGCGAAAGACTTCCATATCTTTTTCTGTTTGTGGAACCTTCACAATTTTGTCGCTAAGGCCACTTTCTTTTTACAAGTGTTCTTTATTTTTTTTAGAAGTAAAAAATTCTTTTTCTTATTTCTTTTTTCTTCTATCTTCTTTTTTTTTTTTTTTTTTTTTTTTTTTTTTTTATTTTTTTCTTTTGATGTTTGATCAATATCGAATCAATTGCAGATTAATTGGAATAATTCAGTTGAAATGAAGAAACGTTAGTGATGGTTTTTTTACTCTTAATGGATAGGGGAGCAGTTTTTCTTCTTCTAGGAAAACATTTTTTATGCTTTATAAGATTGCTCAGAGAGCTAGGGTCTCGGGGGTGAGCAAACGTTGGGTTTGGGTTTAAACCGACATCAAGGCCATGAAATTTAAAAACTGGAATTTTTTTTTCACAGGATGCCGAGTTTGACATCTGAACTGAATCAGTTTGGTTCGTCTTATTTTAGTTTCTGTTTTTTTGGTTCTTATCTTGTCTGGGTTTTCCGACATTCTTAAATGCCAACCCAATGAAATTTTTTATGCACTTTCTCACCGGTCGAACAATAAATTTCATTTCAAAACGAATGTACTTGTTATCGAAATCCGAACGTAGAATGGATCAGTTTCGATAATTTTTTGAATAATTTCGGGTTGTTAGTTTTCCAGACCCTAGCTGAGACTATAGTTTTCAAAACTTTGGAGCTAAAATAACAGACTATGGAATTATTGAATCAATACTATAAAATTTTCAAAATTTAAGATATATTAATATAAATAATATTGTTTTTTTTTTTTTTTTTTTTTTTTTTTTTTTTTTTTTTTTTTTTTGAGTTGCATCAATATCGAATCAATTGCAGATTCTAAAATTGGAATAATTCAGTTATGAATGAGAAAACGTTAGTGATGTTTTTTATCTAATGGATAGGGAGTTTCGCTTTGAAAACATTTATGCTATAAGATTGCAGGGCTGGGACTAGGGGTGAGCAAACGTTGGGTTGGGTTCAAACCGAATCAAGGCCATGAAATAAAAACTGAATTTTTTTCACAGCAGACTGCGAGATTGACATCTGAACTGAATCAGTTGGTTCGGTCTATTTTAGTCTGTTTTTGGTCATTTCGGTTCGATTTTAATCCAACCAATGAATTTTTATGCAATCGAACAATAAATTCATTTCAAACCGAATGAACTTGTTAATCGAATCGAACTAAAATGGATCAGTTCGATTTTTGAATCGGTCTGTAGTTTTCCAGACCCCTAGCTGAGACTATAGTTCAAAATTTAGGAGCTAAAAAATAAAGACTATGGGATATTGAATACTAATAAATTTCAAATTTAGTGTATTATAATATATGTATATGAATAACAAATGAGTTCAATAAATTTAATGATGAGTACATATTTTTTTAAAGAAAAAAAAGATAAAAAATTTATATATAGAAGACGATTTTGAAAACTTTGGGATCAATATGTACATGTAAAAATTATATAAAAATTAATAGATAAAAACTTAAATTTTGAAAAATGGGTTGCTATGCACCAACATAGTGCTGCCTCTGTTTCCATTAGGACAATCAATTAATTAACTCTTTGTTATAGGTTCATGGTGGATTGGATACCTATAAGAGTATACAGAAACCATGCAGATAAAGGAGTGGCATATCCAAGGTGGCAACCAATGGGGATAAAAATCAGCCTATGGAATGGTGACAGCTGGGCAACAAGAGGTGGAAAAGACAAAATTGACTGGTCAAAAGGTCCATTCATAGCTTCATTTAAAGATTACAAAATTGATGCTTGTGTTTGGAATGGAAATCCAAGATTTTGTAGGGCAGAAAGCTCTACAAATTGGTGGCATAAGCATAGCTATAACACTTTAACGCCTATACAAAGAAGATGGTTCAAGTGGGTTAGATTGCACCATATGATTTATGACTATTGCCAAGATAAAAACAGATTCCAAAACAAACTTCCTAAAGAGTGTTCTCTCCCTAAGTATTGATATGAGCTTTCTATTATTTTGTTGTTCTTGATTTTATTATTGGGATTTCAATCTTTTTTAGCTTGATAATTATTTGAAAGTTTTCGAAATATATTAATAAATGAGTATTTCTTTCCATGATGAACATAGAATCAAACAGATCTTTCGCTTTTAGGTGAAAGCGCAATGCTTGCTATATCCTCTGGCTTTCCTTAGTCTGAAGCCACTGTTGATCCTTCAAGAATGTTCAAGATAGATAATTGCAGCTCTAACACCATCAAATTTAGTCTCATCATCATCTACATAAAAACATAACAACAATAACATCAGAAGACTAATCAAATAAACTATCTGACAAAAAATCATATATTAGCATAAAATTCGAAACAAATAAAGCGAAACTCTAACCTATATATCCAAATAACCAATTATGAGTAGTAATCAAACATGCAGCATTTTTTGGTGAAAGATAATTTTTCCAATTGGTTAAAACTTTGCATTCCATGCTAAATGTTGAATCTGAAACAACAGCTGTGATGGGAATGCTCAATATGTCCCTTGCATGAGAGAAAGTGTAGGAAATCTATATTCATTGTCTTTCCACTAAGAGAGCACATCCAATGGCTGCTTGACATCAAACCTCTTTTTAACCAAATATACATCCAATTCTGAGTTAACTGAACATTGTTCCTCTGCATAGCGATCAAATTCCTGCATTACAAGTCATATATTCAAGGATTTATATAGACTACCAATTTTTACATATATAAGTAAGATGTACATAATTTAGACAGAAAAAACTATGAAATACCCATCTTTAAATATTATGTAAATTAATAAATCAAAATTGCAGCAGGAATCAGTTCAAAAATCACAAACTTACAGCAAAGATATCCTCATTCAAATTAACTTCAGCACCCATTCCCTCAGATGATGATGTACTGAAAGTAGGATTTTTGCTCGCATACTCTTTGAAAAGACTATTAAGCTCGTTAGTCATGTGTTTGCACTTTTCTGCAGCAGTTTTCCCATCTAACTTTTGATAACAGAACTTTACGAATCCCAATTTATATCGAGGATCCAATATAACAGCAAAAGCAAGCACCATACTATAGCAATCCCAATGCTTATCAAATTCTAGTTTCATTCTAGCTGCCATGTCACTTATGCAAGGATCTTTTTCCTCACTCCATTGCATCGATCTGAACTCAATCATCCAAATATTGCAAAATACAAATTTGCTGTAGATATTTAGTGCCAGAAAAAAGATCTGCAATATCATGAAAAGGTTCTAAAAATTTACAAATCTTCACAACTCTATCCCACTCTTCATCTGTCAGATACCAAACGTAATCTTCATCAACAATGTTCAAATGAGCAAATGCTTGACAATAATATAGTGCCGTTTCAAGCATGAGATATGTGGAATTCCATTTATCAAGGTGATTCAACCGTAAGCTTTTAGAACAATCATACCCAACATCCTTCGCAAATCTTTCAAATTCTAGTTGCCTACTCTTTAACCCAGTCACATATGTCACCCCTTTCTCTAATCTTGGAAATACAATGATCAACCACCTTCAAGCCTTCTAGAACAATGAGATTAAGGATTTTGGCACCACAATAAACATGCAAAATATTATGATTACAAGACAAATTACCTTGCCCATTAAGGTGATCAAACAATAAATCTTGCATATTAACAAAAATTCTTGCATCATCCAAGGTGATTGTAAATATTTTCTTCTCAATTCCCCCCTCCATTAACATTAAATGAACTTTTATATACATTGCATTATATGGAGGAGGAACATGACAAACATTTACAACTTTGCTAGTTAACTTCCAATTGTCATCTACATAATGTGCACTGAGACAAAGAAACTTTTGGTTGCTTCCACTTTTGGTTGCTGCATGAAGTCCATATGTCACATGTCAAAGATATCCCACTAGGAACTTCCTCCAAACTGCGTTTAAGTTTTTTTCTCTCTCTCATATATAACTGAGAACAATGTGCTTCAGCCATGCATCTACTAATTGGTTCGACATTCCTATTTAGATAAACAAGAATGTCTGAATTATCCTCAGCAAATTTAAAGGTATATCCATGTCTTAAAATAGCTAAAACAACTCTTTCCATATGCATATCTTCATAAAAATCTCCAACTAATTTTGCTTCATGAGATACCTTCAATTGATGTGCATTCTTGCGAGCACAACTTGAACAAAAACCCATTAGGCGTTCACAATTAGAACTAGAACCCGTATCATATACCTTGCCTACACTTTTGTCTCATTTATGTGGAATTGGCCCGTCGCCTTTTGGAAGGAACTACACAGCTATCCTCACTTTCAGCCATCTCCGCATGCATTAAATAACTGCGATATAAATAAACGAAAAAGTCCATAACTCTGTGTACTCTAACTTAGAATGTCAATGTATAGAACTAGTATTGCTTGGCTTAGGTTGATGTATGTAGCATTATAATATAATATAAAAAAAAATCAAAGCTTTGGTTGATATATTAAGGATCATGCTCTGAATTTTTTTTATTGGACCATGTTCTACATATTTCAGCTTCTAATCACAAGTTTCTTCTAAAATTTTGATAATTTCCATTGATTGTTTTATTTCATATAATCCAACTAAATGTTGAGCAGATATAGAATAGCTGGTAAATAATCAATTTTCTAAAACAGAGGCAGGAACAAACTTAGCTTAAGAAATTATCAACTGCAAAGTGCCTAGAAGATTAAAGATTAAAGAAAAAAGAGAGGTAAAAATCAGCTAAAAATACGTTTTAATTACCTGAAATTTGCCGGAGAAATGAGAGATTGGACGCCGGCGAGTCAAACGGGAATCCGAGAAGGGGATTTAAACCGCAAGCAAATGACATTGTGAGAGAGTGACTGTTACCATTCCGTGGGTTTATCGATTAAGGGATTGGATAATGGATTGTTTAAAGGTTTGGCGCGTGGATTAATAATCTTATATGTTTTCTAATTATTTATTAATATTTTAAAAAAATATATAAAATATTAGCTACACACTGCCGTTTAAGGCAGAGAGTGGTACGAAGCCAATTACCAAAAATCCAAAACCCAGACACAGGACACACCTTCCGCCGCTGGCCGCTCTTTTCTCCTCGCTTCTGCCGCTTCCGTTTCACTAAAATCTGGTGGTAATTAAATTCGCCATAACTTCAAAATCAGAAGTTCGAGGTTTGTTCTTGTGGAGTTTTGGCTTCTCGGTAGGTAATCTTTTTTGGGTTTTTATTCATAGATTTTGTTTGTTGCGGATTAGATGGGCAGTTCAAGCAGAGACCTTTTGCATTTGGAGCAGAAGAATCTCTCCACAACATCTCCTCTTGGTATATCTAAACCCTTGCTTCTGCTACTGCGCTTTATGTGTTTATGTAATTTATATGTATTAAGTGCTCTTGCTATTTTGATATCTATGCAGAATCCACACTTCTTGTTTGTAAAAAGGATTCAGTTTCTAGTGCCAAGAAACCTCCACCTAATGGAAAGCCCACGACTATTCCAGTTCCCGAAAGCCAAGGTAACTAACTATTTTCACAATTCTATTTCTTTTGTTGCAGAAATTAGGTTTGTTCTTTCTAATCTATTGACTAGTTAGTGTTGCTGTTGTTTATGTCTAAATTTAATGATTTTCTTGGTTGTGGTAAATTATTACTTCAAAATGGCACTTGATTGGTGAAGTTCAGCTTGTCACTAACTTAAATACCAAAAGAAAAAATGTCTGACTATGATTATATTGTGGGAAAGGTCTCTGTTGGGCCATTTTATCTGTTATTATTATATAAATACTGCACTCTGGTTCTCTATGTCTGTTTGTGTGGTATATGCATCTTGTTTCTGTCTGCCTGGTAGCTTTTTATCATCTTTCAAATGTCAAGATTACAACCTTTTTCCTTATTCGAAACTTACCATTTTTGTGTGAAAATGCATACTAGGCAGTACTACGTTGAGAATATACTGAATTGGTTTACTCTGTTATATACGGGTCACTCTGGTGTATTTGAGGTATTGTCACTTTCCTGTTTGTTATTCAACACGTCATGGGCAGAACTGCCACTTGGTGATTGGATTTGTTTGTAATTTCAAGTTCTATTAAGTGTAATATGTAAGATTGCATTTGGCCATGTTAGGTTTTAACACTGCTGCTATTTTTTTCTTCAACAAAGAACTTGGGGTTAGGATCTGTGGCTTTTACATATCTAGGCTTCATATGGAAAAGAAGAGCATCCAGTGCTGGGTTTCTATTATGATGTACAATGAGAAAAGCCCAAAGAAGAGTAACAGGAAAATGTTTATTTCTAAGCTGGAGGATACATGATTGACATTCTAGCAAAAACCTGTCATGAATTTTGGGTCTTGGATTTCATACTGATATATTTGCATCTATTAGATCTTATGGATCAAAATGCTAAATACCTCAATATAGATGGCTAACATGTTTGGGCAAAGCCAAGATGTTTGAATGGTGCTCTTTAGGTTTGACCTTGCTTGTGCAACAATTATCATTGATATTGAGGATGAGCAATGCTGAAAGAATACGTGTGATTGGCGAAGTCTCAATTATGTAGTGGATATCTGTAGTGGTAGTTTTAGTTGAAATGGATATTTGATTATTAGGAGTCCACTTGGCACTGAGTGTGCCAAATGCAATGGGGGTTCAAATTGTGTAGTCAAGGATGGGAAGAGGCTGCCTTGCCTAATTGCACAACCACAATCCAAATGGGTTCTTAAAATATGAAGACATGAAGGGTTGATGTTTGCTATAATAATTGTCACCAATGTTGTTTCTACTGCTGCAGTTATGGGAAAAGTGAAAGATTTCCTAGGAGTCATATCTGAAGCCAATAAACGGTTGCAGCAAGATGCCAAGGTATATTTACTTGTAACTGGGACTGTTTTCGTTATATCAACTCCATAAATCTTGTATTTGCGTATGTTGTTCTTAAAAATTTACAGGAAAATTCACAAAATTATGATATCGAAGTGCTTGATGGAACTGAATCTGAAGTCATTGAAATGGTAATTAGGACTGTTCTGCTTCCCTCCTTAGGTTGCTACAGGCTACAGACTTTCTCCAGGAATCATAATTTAAAATTTCAATACATCTCAATTACAGGATTTAATGCTGGGTATTGCTGATCTTCATACCCCTGAAGCAATAGCTGCTGCTGAATCTGCAATAAGTGGTGGTCAAGCTTTGGACTCTGACAGCAGTGAAACAGGATCAGACAATACAAGTGATGAAGATGGAAATGATGAAACAAGCAGTGATGATGATATTGACGAAAAGACATGCTCTTCCCCAAAACGTAAAACATCCAAGTCTGGCGAAGATCGTTCAGGCCAAACAGTTGGAAATAATGGGTCCAAAAAGCGGCCAAAAATTGTAGAGATGAGTTGAAGCTTAATTTTATCAGTGAAAAGCTTGGCTCCAACAAGTCTACTGAATTTTATCGGTGAAAAGCTTGGCACCAACAATTCTATGGTAATTAGATAATTGTTATTTAGGTGTTTTATTCTTTTGTTTTCAACATGTCCTGAGCTTCAGCTTGCCATTCCTCCCTCCGGATCTTTCTTTAACCTTCAAACTGATATTTTTTTACCCTGTGTTAAACATGTGATAGTTTGTTGATGAGTGATATCTGAAGTTTAAGCAAAAAGCTGTTATAGTATCGCTATTGTTGTCTATTACATGTACTTTTTTTTTTATCATTTTAAATTGATAATTTTTGTTGGAGAGAATTTTTGTAAAATTCTGTTTTGAAAATTTATGTTTGGTGTAAGAAAATGGTTTAACCGAAATAAATAAATAACATTGAAATGAATTGAATGAAATTTGAAAATACTCGATGAGAACGAATGAATTTTCCATTCGGTCTGAGCTCATATAATAATTCTCAAAAAAGAGTGAAGCTATGATTCTTGGTATGTTATAAGGCCCTTCGTCCTTTCCTGCAGGTGTGTTTAGTGGAGATCGAATTCGAATTTTTTTTTTTTTTTTTTCACATGCTTAGTCTGCATTTTAAGTGAGTCATAACTCGCAGGTAATCATTATTAATTTTGTTATGTAAATAAATATTTTCCACAATAAAAAATAACAATACTTGCCACATGTGATTGAGTGAATTTATTGAATTTTTTCATTGCAAGTAATTTACAAACCCACGTATAATTGATGTAGAATCTAAAGTGTTAATCGAAAAAAAAAACCTGTACTCTTTCCAAATATTAGGATTTAGCAGAAAACTATTATAGGTGCAAAAGAAAAGAAAAAGAAAATGAATTTTCCCTAGAATTGAATATATAATAAAACTATGATAGGTAATAATTGTTCCATTGGCAGAAGATCAACGGCAGTAGCCATAAAAGAAAGATTTCTGAATGCTTGTATTGGTCTGATAATCTCTGAGGGATTGGGATGCTCTTCTGGAGAGTAATAAACTGTTAATTTCTCTAGTGATTTCGCGTGCTTAAGCAAGTATTTAATGAATTCCAATGCATTCTTTCCTTCGCTAAGCTCCATCTCCACTTTCTTCAGTCTATCAATTAGCTTCAGGCTCTTGGATTCCCATGTCTCCACAGAAAAACTAGTTTTGTTAAGCTCCATCTCTACTGACTTCAGTTTATCAATCAGCTTTTGGGTTTCCAATTCCCATTCCATACGTACCTGCAGAAATTGTTCTTTTGTTAATCCATCTATCAATTTTAAAGTCTCCATTAATGTCAGGCAGACATGCTCAGAACTGTAAATTGCTGATTGTTTAACTATGATTACCCGCTACTATATCATGAAATAATTTAAGGCTTTAGATATCTATATATTACGTTACATCGACATCGTCCACATTGTTCTCGTCCATATTGTCATCGTCCACATTGTCATCGTCCACATTGTCATCGTCGCTCTCATAGCCATTGGAAGGTGCACCAAAGCAAGTTCTCATGACAAGAGATTGTAAATTAGGCAATCTCTGAAGAAATGAGGCAATTATTGGGAAATGGTTTTTCTCAGAATCAGGAGTGAGCTGTAGGTTCAAGCTCTGCACATTATGCAATGAAGATGATGGAAATATTTTTGTGAACAAAACCTGTAATTTATAACAAACAAAAACAATTAGCATTAACGAATGAAAGAGGAATCAACCCAAAACTGAGTCAGAAGGACCCATTTGTTTCACAGAAGGAAACAGGAAAATATGTTCAGGGTTTGATGGGGGGTTACCTCCAGAAATAAGATACCTACACCAAGCTCTTTGGCATGTTTGACACTCTGAAGAATCTCATAAGCATTTCGAGCAGTAGTTGAGGCATAGTTTGCACATAAAACATCAACAAGATTGGTTTTAGCAAAAATGGAAGCACTTTGCAGAGAATTGAAGCTTCCTAAATGATAATTCTCAGCAATTTGTCCTTCCATTGTCAAACAGACAAGTTTAGGAGCATAAATTGTTACCTCTTGTAATCCCCCATTGGAAAACCAGTACAAAGAGATAGAAGCAAGTCTGCAACCTGAAATATTAACTGTAGAGATATATACAATACGATCCCATTCAACTATTTTCAAATACTCAAGACTTGTGTTTGTAATGTCAAGGCTAGTCCCTGCCCCCCAGTCAACATTGACAAGACTCAACTCCTGCAAAGACTTGCAATAACACGACATCCATTCTCCAAACGACTTGAGCTCGATTGGAACACCACTAAGTTGCAGTTTCCGAAGAAAACCAAAACCAACTGTGGGCAAGTTGAGAACCTTGATATCGCCTCTAGTACCAATAGTAACAATGTTTCCGGGTGAGTAAAGAACCTTGATATCGCCTCTAGTACCAATAGTAACAATGTTTCCGGGTGAGTAAATGCAACCATCGAAATACACAGGCAACACTAAAGTCCCAATCTTTGTATGTTCCTTAATTGATAGCTTCTCAACATTGCACCGAGCTACTTGTTTTAGGCAAGATTCTAGTTTGAAATCCTCATTGTAAGTGTTTGTTCTCCAAGGCCAGAAATCTCATGAAAAGGTAAAGCTTTGTAACTTCAGTCCTTTTCGGTAAGCAAGCAACCTTTGTGTGAAATCAAGAAGCTGGAACCTTTTGACATGTTTACTAAATTGTGTATTGTCGAACCAAATTTCCAAGTTGGGAACTGAAATTGAAAGATCTCTGCATCTTCGAGATAAAGTGCTGAATTTTGCAATCTCTTTAAAGGTGCAAAAATTAAGGATGTGATGAACGATGTGGTCTGGAAGATCAAGAATTCCATATGGTGTAGCTTTTGCTATCAGCTCGAGGGGTGGCTCCATAATTAAGTTTCTCAAAGATTCAAGAAATGCAAGAAAACAAGAGACGAGAGAAAGATTCTAAGTCTTATATGAAAGTAATAAAGCAATAGCATTACTTTGTCTAAACCGAATCAGAGTAGGATTTAATACATGGTGAAAGGAAACCTATTCTTCTTTTGACTTGGTAAAATTAGGTTTTATCTAAATTACATAATTAATCTTTCTGCTAAATTCATCATTATTCAGAATAATTAAATAGTGTATATATATCCAAGTCCTAAAAATAAAAGGGTCATGAAAAATATATTTGTAGGAAAATCGTAAATCAGGGGACTAAAAGTAATTAATTAACCCTTTTAAGCTACATAATTGTCATGTACATTCATTAAGAACGATGACGACGTTTTATTAGCAGTTAACGGAAAATAAACAAATGATTAAATACAATAACTGAGATAAACCCAGCAATATATAATTAAATCTTTACAATCAGGAGTATAATCTAACGACTAAATAATATAATTCACTGAGTCGTTTAACCCTGATTATAGAAAATGAATGATAGATTGATTGATCGATCAATAGGGTTTTTGTCCTTCATAGTTACCAGGAGGATCATAGTTGCAGGAAATTAAGGTTCCACCATTATTGCATCTGACCTTAGCGCACCCTATACAAGTAGTGTCACGCCAAACCACCTGTTTATAATGACCACATTCTTTCCCTTCACAACAGGTGTTAGTATTATAATCATAATCAGCCCCCTCATCAGTCCACATTTTCACTGCATCCGCCACGGAAAGATCATCCGAGCACCATGCCAAGTTTTCACCATACGGCCCTTCCGAATGGACAAGCTCGCAATCTCCAATGCGTTGACTTGTGTAGTCTTTCGCATACGCCTCTAACTTCTTATCCCATATTAAGGGTTTAAGACCAACAGCCTTTCGGGCTTCTGCGTGTGGTATTAGATAGTCTTCTGGTCCGTCGTGAGCGTTAGAGGGAAGAACTAGAGTTCCACTCATGAGAAGAACAATAGCTAATGGGAGTTTCAATGATATCATTTTTGATTATTTATGTTTTCTTTATGGTGAAAAACAAGGTTAGGAAGTAAGTATATATATTTAGAGACATTAGGAAGAGGATGCTTTGTGACCATTAAAGTTTTTTGCACTATAATAATGGCGAACTTCATGGTTTATGCAACGTCTTTTATATTTTTAACCTAATTTTACATGATAAAAAATAAATCCAAAATTGCTTGATTTAATGGTTGAAGCCTTCCTTTTCAACTTCTATCAAATAGCTCAGATGCATCTGAACATTTCTAACATGCATCATTTTCCTCTTATCACGGGTTGCTATGCTTTCCTTCCTTTTCCACTTCTATGTTTAGTCAAATGATTAAAATTTAATATTAATGAGGTTTGGTATGTCTGTCTTTGTCACATTAATTATCACCAAGCTAGTAAATATTATTTAAAATAAAAGAAATGCTTATCTATACACTCGGTGTATGGTCCACTTATGGATCAAACTAATTATAAAAAAAATATTTTAATTCAAACAAAGATATTTCTAACTATAAACTGAAAATAAAAAGGACAAATGGTGTTTATCAGTAATGGTGTAGATCGGTTTACATATTAACAAAGATCTTTGATTGGCTTGGTTCCATACACAAGAATTTTCCTTAAAGAGAGGCTAGTATTATTACTGTATAATCTACAATATTATACTAGAGCCTCTCAGGAATAAAAAAAAAAAAAGATACAAGACTTATATATATACATCCATTTTGTCTTTGTAGAAAGATGATGTCTAGAAGATAGTATTTGATGGCTTAAGTTATTGTAATCAGCAATCACGGGAGTAAATTGATAGTGAAACACAGGAAATGAGGACAAACTCGTAATATTTTATTTTATTCTATTTGGCTTAAAAATCTTGCCCCTTTACAAATAACCAAAAGCAAATCTCCATGCTGGAAATCAGGAAGACATATATCATATTCTATTTTATTCCATTTTTTCTTGGTCAACTTAATCTAGGCTGAAACCGGAAGACAGAAATCATATTCTTATAGTCTTGGATATGAACCAGGACATATTTTATCCTTGGGTAAATCTAAACGACATTATGATTAATAAGGTCGTTTCCCAATATAATTACCAGGAGGATCATAATTGCATCCAATGAAGGTTCCTCCATTAGTGCAGGTAACCTTAGCACACCCTAGGCGAACCGATTCGCGCCAGACTACTTGAGTATAGTGGCCACAAACCTCGCCAGGAACACAAGAATTAGAATTATAGTCGTAATAAGTTTTCTCATCAACCCACATTTTCACAGCTTCTTCGCCTGAAAGGTCTCCACTACCCCATGCCAAGTTTCTTCGCCTGAAAGGTCTCCACTACCCCATGCCAAGTTCTCGCCATAAGGCCCCTCCGAGTGCACAAGGTTGCATTCACTGACGTGCTGATTTGCGTAGTTTTGTGCATAGGCTGCTACTTTTTTGTCCCAGCTCATAGGTCCAAGTCCAACGACTGCTCGAGCTTGGTTGTGAGCATTCAGATAGTCTTCAGGTGTTTGTTGGGCGTTGAAGGGAACGGGTAGAAGTAAGACTGTGGCTATGAAAAGAGGAAGGGCTAATAATTTGACACTACACATTATGCAAGGTGAAATATTGTTGATTTGGTGAAGTGGTATTTGATGGGTATTATAGGCCTATTAAGGATCATGTATTCTGAAATAGCATAATACATAATTTAGCCAATATAATTTTTTTTTTTTTTTTTGGCTTTTATACGCCATGTTCACATGCTCGCATTGACCTCTTTTGGATTATCTACCCATTTTAGCCAATATAATAATCTTAACATTAATTAGATTGTAAATTCAAATCTAAAGATTAGATTATATATTAATTTTTTTATTAATTAGTACTTACTCCTTCTCATAAAAATAATCTCACTTATTCCAAATTATAATTATATTTCTCCTTTTAGAAGAAAATAATACCTACTTCCTATTCTACACCTATACAATATGCATATATATATTTCCAAATTATAATTATATTTCTCCTTTTAGAAGAAAATAATACCTACTTCCTATTCTACACCTATATATATCAAATCTTAAAATAGATAATTAATTAAATATGAACCTCTCATATTTATAATTTACAAAAAAAAATGAAAAGTTATAGAAAAAACCACATAAAGACTGTGGTTTAAGTATATTAAGAAAAATTCACATAAAGACTGTGGTTTAAGTATATTAACTTAATCTATATGAAAGTCAAATTATGTCTAGTTTTATGAAATGGAGAAAAATATTTAGTACATAAAGTAAAAAATTATAAAATGAATGATCATCATTTTGAGTATTAAGCTATATTTGCGCTTACAATTAAATAACTAAACTAAATATTTATGTTAGTCTTGTGTATGTTAAATAGAGGATTGATTAGGCTTAAGATGGGTAGATCAATATATGGACAAGTTATATGGTTAATGTGAACAAAATTTCTTAGAGAAACCTACAGATTGTGGCTCAGTGGCAAATTTGGCTGAACATGTGTAAATATTTCTCAGGTTCGATCTCCACTAAACACATTTGTAGGGAGGGACAAAGAGCATTGACTGTGACTAAATTCCAAGCAGGATTAGACGGTTCTGGACAATACATAGCATCCGGAAATCGATGGTTTAAAAAAAAATCTCTTAGAGAAGACATAATAAAATAAAGCTCGTAGCAATCTAATTAATTGGATAGAACATTCAAATTAAATAAGCTTCACACATTTCTTTTTATTCTCTGAAGCCAATAAATCATACACCAATTGCATGGCTTCTATTCAACTAGTAATACTGATAGTTAATTAATATTTTGTGGAAGCTTTTTGATAATAAAAAAGATTCTAGTTAGTAAGGTTTTTGGCCAACATAGTTGCCAGGAGGATCATAGTTACAAGTAATAAAAGTTCCTCCATTGCTGCACCTCACCTTAGCACATCCAACGCGGACAGAGCTACTCCAAACCACCTGAGTATAATGGCCACACATCTGGCCGGGAGAACAAGAATTAGAATCATAGTCATAATAGGCCTTCTCATCAACCCACATCTTCACAGCATCTGTGCCTGAAAGTTCAGCACTACTCCATGCCAAGTTCTCGCCATAAGGCCCGCCGGAGTGCACAAGATTGCAGTCTCCGGCGCGTTGTCTCCGGCGCGTTGATTTGCGTAATTCTGTGCGTAGGCAGCTACGGTGTCGTCCCATGACAGTGGGCCAACACCTACAGCTGTACGAGCTTGGTTATGGGCATCTAAGTAATCTTGTTGTTGGTCTTGGGATTGTATAGGAAGGATTAGAGCCAAGTTGATGAGAGCAAAGAGAGGAAATAGTGAATTCTTGAATGAAAGTATCATTTTTGGCTGGTTGGTACTGTATGCAGTGTAAGAGAAGATGTTATATTGGCTTATGGATGAAGAAAAATGAGATGTTTGAGAAGTATTTATAGGCATTTTAGGGTTGGAAAATTATCTGAATTTTCTTAGGAGTAACATGCATTTCAATAAATTTCAAAAAGAAAATGCACTTAACTGAATTTTCGTTGGAGGAACGTGTCGTAATTACTCTGTTTTGCATTCAGGTTGAAATTATTTTATTAAAAATTGATTTATTTTTAACTTACAGTTAGAATTATTCTCGGATGAATTTATGTTCAACATCTCCAAGTTTCCATTTCAGGTGATATTACAAGTGTATTTAGAAATATTAAAAATAAATAATATTGTCCCACGCTAAGCCAAACGGTAATAGATCCGGATTCAAATTCCTTTTCCCAGTACTCAAAATAAATAAAGAAATAATATTTCTAAAAATACACTAACCTAATTTAAAAAAAGTTATTTGGACAATTAAGGTATTTAGGTATTCTCAATAAAGAAAAAAATTCTGAGTTTTTCTGTCTTATCCACCAGGATTTAGTTTGATCGAAGAATATTCTAAAAATATTAAAAGTTCCATTTTTTTTTTGTTTTTTGAAAAAAAAGGAAAATGGAAAACACAAGCAAAAATAATTTAGAAAAAAGAATATTCTAAAAATATTAAAAGTTCCATTTTTTTTTTGTTTTTTGAAAAAAAAGGAAAATGGAAAACACAAATGCAAAAATAATTTAGAATAAAATTCAATATACATATATTTCAACATTTTTTTTTTTGAAAGAGTAAAACTTATAGCCTTTCATTCATTATCATAAATCTCGGACAAATAATGAGGAATATAATTCCAGATATGTAGATGCACAAAGCGAATAGAAGCTCGAGCTAGGGTATGAGCCTTTAAGTTCGCTTGCCTACGAATCCATCTACATGAAACCAAAGGGAGTTTTAAAAATAAGTTCTTACAATCAGAAATAATACTCCCCATATCCGATCTGAATAAAATAGAGGAGCTCAAAGTAAAAAATAAAACCTGCGAGTCCATGAAAATAGTACTTCCACGCTCAACATAATTTTGCTTGAGAAATAATAAAAAACTACGAAGAGCTACAGCCTCTGCAATAGAAGGATTCGCACCACCTGTAAAGTGGCTTGAAACTGTTTGAATAAAAATGCCTTCCTCTGTCTCCATATATATTTCAACATTTTTAATATAATACTTTTTACAAGTACATTACTCCTTTTGAGGATAGATGATGCAGTAACACCGAATATACATATACGTACCTTAAGCTTCACCAACAAAAATTGTCATTTAGGTATAAAATTAAAAATAATTAAAAATTCTCACACATTCTTCCTCTTTTTAGAAATTTTTTATGTGCCAGATGAAATTGAACGATTTTGTATTTTTGAAATTTTTCTCTAGCTTTTAGTATTAATTTCCATGAACAAGGGGTACTACTTTTAAAGAAGGACTTCTCTATAATTATATGTGATTACAAATAATATTCACCAATTGCGAATATTTATTAATACTCTTATAAATTATTAAAAATTTAGTATTTTTTATTAAATTATAAAAATTTAGTATTTTTTATAAAATTGCTGAATTATAAATTAAATAATAGCTCTGTTTAATATTTTATAATGCTTTCTAAGAGTTTGTAGAAAGTAATTATTTCTTATAAAGTTGTTGGATTATTATAAAATAATAGCTCTTGTTCTCAATATTTTGTAATATTTTTTAATAATTTTTAAAAAATGATTATATTTTATAAAATAGTTGAATTACAAAATAATAGGTTTGGTTATTAATTGTAATAATTTTAAATAATTTATAAAAAAGATTGTCTTTTGTAAAATGGCTCAAATCATAAAATAATAGCTCCACTTATCGATATTTTATAATAATATTAAGTACCTTTTGAAAGATGACTATTATTTTATAAAAGGGTATAATTTATAAAATAATAGATGTTGTTGCCAATATTTTGTAATTTTTACAAATATTTTATGAAAAATATTTGCTTTTTGTAAAGATGGATTGTTTATAAAATGCTAGATTTGGTTGCCAATGTTTTATAATTTTTAAATATTTTATAAAAAGGGTATTTCTTTTAAAGTTATTGTTTAGTTTCTAATATTTTGTAATATTTTTAAATATTTTATATAAGGTAATCATATACTATTATTCTTTTGTGTGTGTATATATATGAAGTGAAATGAATTTCGATTCATTATTTTATTAAATTTTTAATTGAATATGTGTTTATGTGTACACAAAATCAGATCCTACCAAACATGCAAGCTCACAATTCACTTCTCCGAAGGAGTGATTTCAGCTTTGGAATTGCAAGTCTTCTATCCTTCTTTTTCGGCGCTTACTATGACAACGTGAAAAATGACATTAGTTTTACTTGAATTATACAAAATACTTACGTTTTATAAAATATTGATAATTGGATCTCTTTTTTTGTAAAGTTCTTTTTAAAAAAAAAATATTTTTTTTTTATAAATATTTGAAAATATTACAAAATGGTGACTGTCATATCTATTATTTTGTAAACCATCAACTTTAAATAAAATGGGATATAAAAGGACCAGATCACATAGTTTCATAGAGCCGTGAGAACGGACTTTGCCAAGTTAACACAACCAGCAAAGGACAGGGTAGCAGCTTTCCGTGACATTAATTATATGATTAAATTACTTTTAATGACTGTCTGATTGTGTATTACTTTTGTTTGAACTAGTTTGAATAACGTTCGGTCCATTTTATTAATTGCTTCTGTCAATATTAAAAGAAACAGACTATATATATATTCATATCTATTTTGAACTCAGTTTGAAAAATAGTGTGATGATAAAAAGATTTTGAATTAATTAATAATAGGATTGTAACAAAAAATTTTAATAAAAAGATGTAAAACGCTAAATGTTATCTGAAATAACGTTATAAAAAAGAATCCCTATCAAATAATTTAATTCATTGAATTTGGTGTTGTTTCTAGAAACATTTAGATGATGATCTATCCGTGGTGTGATCGCAAATCACGGGAATAGATTGATAATGAAATATGGAATATAAGAAAATGACATAAAATAAAAGCAATAATACCAACATAATGGAAGACCTTGACTATTAATTTTTAGTCAATGTCAAGCCGACCTATTTCGTTTTGTGAACTTCAAATTTTATTTTTTCCTTATGAAATTTCAAATTTATCTTTACTTAATAATTAATCTCATAAAAAATTATTCGTGGAATATATAAATTTTATAATTTTAATCCTATAATATTCTGTATTTTATGGCTGACTTATTGTGTGTTGAATTTATAAATTTTGATAACGTTGCACATATTTTCCATATTAATAACAATAATTTTTAGGTTTTTGGATTTTATGTATAAAATATTAATTTAATATATAATTAATATAACTTTTATAACAATAATTTTTTATATTTATCAACTATTTAATAGATAATTAATTCATCTAATTTTACAATGAGTTGAAGTATTTAATGAGTTGAAGTATTTGATTTTATAAATTAAAGTAGTCGATAAATTTTAAAAACTAAGATACCAAAGTTGATGGATTATATTATATATTCGGCCAAAAATATTATCCAAATCATATATATGTATTTCTCATTAATCTATTTTAGAAAAATAAAATCAAAATAAAATTAATCTCATTTAGAAAAATAGTTTTAGGTCTCGTCAACCCGATTATTTTATAAATCAATAGTATGTTTTTTTCATTATATCTTGTATATATTTAATAAAATAAAAAAAGAAAACTTTTTATTTATTAGGTTCAATGTTAATTGCTCACCGGCCTGATTCTTTTTCAGCTTGCTTAAACTTTTCCATTCCTAATTGTTTTATCTCCCATTTGGAAAGTGCAATTTTATAAGAATTAGTTCAAATGAATTTTATTTTTTCGATTTTCATATCTGAAAATGATATAATTTGTTAAAGGATAATATCATTTTCAATTTGATATTGCGAAAATTCAATTTGATTAGATAATTAAGACTCAAATAACAAAAATTTTCTACAATTTAATATGTTCTAGTCTCTTAATAGACAATAATATTATTATTTTTTATATTTTTATTTTTAAAATAATTTTAAAAATTTCAATGAATTCTTTGAGAATTACAAGTCAGTTAGGCAAATAAATAAATCAATAATGAAACTAAATTAGTTATGTTTTAACCAGCCCACTTACCCGACTAATCGGAATGAAATTAAATTAATTATAATAAATTAAGAATTGACTTTTAATATTTTTTTTATGAAGTTTAATAGTTATACAATATTTTAAATTTCTGTCTAATCTTAAATTGTTATGGTTTTGTTGGACTTGCGTTTATCAAGACCGCCTTGGGATAGGTTGGATAAATGTGTTTAATTCGAAAAAAAAATGAGATAAGAATAAAAAGAATTCAGTAAAGAAAATTAAAGACGAGAAAGATATAATAGAAATATAAGAAATTATGGGAGTTGAAAAGAAATGGATGAATACAAAGTAACTTAAATGCAGCCAAACAATTCGATTTGTTTGTATATATTCTCGTATCAATTAGATTATAGTTTTTCCTGTTTATAGATCTTAAGAGTACCCTCCAAGCAAGTTACTCTCTCTAAAAAAGTATATACAAAAATTAAAAAAATACCCAAAATATGTGCAATATTTATAATTCATGGGTTTAAGCCTAAATGGCTCTCTCAACATTATTTTTGCTATAATTTCTTAATTCATGGGCCTTTAGTTTGGACGGCATCAACAATTTCATTATTTTTAACTTGTTGTAAATTAATTAGTTAATTTTTCAAATTTTTGTTAAAAAAATAAAAAGCCTCCAATGAACTAAAATGTATATATATATGCTTTTTTTTTCCGATTATTATTATTATTATTTGAGAAAAACAAAAGATTATACGTTCTACTAGTAGAAAACTACTAGTCATTAAGGTTTTGGACACCAACTTTGCAAATTTGATTTCAATAATTA